ATTCAGTAAGAAAGATAAATTCCTAAGAACAGCAACACAGTTTTAAGCAGTACTGACAGCAAGCTGCAAGATAACTAGTGCAAGGCAGCAGCTTTGGGTTTTTGAGCATTTCTTGATCTTATTATGCCCCTTCAATCCCACCTGAATTCCACCACCACAGGACCTGTGGCCACGTTCCACAAGACAGGAAATCCAGTAGTGAGCTTACTATCAGACAAAAAAAACAACCAAACAAAAAACAACCACCAGTGTAGCTACATGGTGAGAAATGCTGAACCAAAACATGCAGATTCATTGCTGGTTTAAATTGGCTTAAAAATGTTACAGCCAGGCAGGTTTTGTGCTGGGTTGGGTATCATCCATCTTCCCACAGTCAGCATAAAGACTGTATCATGCCTGGTCTGACTTGACAGAAACGCAATTGCATAATCCTGCCAGATCTTAGTGAAATGCGTGCTGCCAGGTATTCCAATAGTGCACAGACAAGTATTCATTAAGCCAGTCTGCTTTATGGAGTCTAGGTGACAGGGTGTCTGCAAGATCATTTTTTCTCCGTAGGCGAAATCCACCAACAGTCCTGCTGACTTGTCAGCTTTGTATTAAATCTGTTGAGTCCTTTTCATGCTGTCAGAAGGAAATCTGTCCCATGAAAAAACATCTGATAAAGTTATTATCATGTTCATCTCGTCCTCCTCGTGCTGTGTGGTTGGAATTCATTTTCTCTTCGTGTTCACCTTATCTGGAGGTTGTGAAAGGAGCTGCATCAGTGATATTAGAGAATGTTTAAATACACATCATATTTTTCAGCAGAAATGCAAGTGCAACCACAAGCAGTCAGGAATTAGTGAACAGAAGATTCTCCCCTTTACATTTCTGTCTGAACATCCCTGTAATAGTGGTTTTGCATTTACAAAGCTTTGGCAAGCAACGGCTTCCCAAATGCCCTGTAACTTCACAATAAAACTGTGCTTTATGTGGATAGCTTTGCCCATCACTGAAACACTGCCAAATCAGAGATAGCAACTGGTTGCGTTTGAGAGAGGCTTTAGGAACACTCTACAACACTAAGAGAGGGCAGAAAGAGACATAACACGTTTGCGGTGGAATGAGCAAGGGGACACTTTGAAAACCCCGAATTTAACTGTAGATCAAGATGAGTTCTTGGTCTAAGCTCACACTGTAATAAACTAGCCTGAAGAAAGTAGAGTCAGGCCCTATGCACCTGTGAAATAAAAAAGGGGCAGGAGGGGAACTGAAGTGAGGCCGTATGCTTAGATTTAGTTACAGAATAACCTTTATGTGTTTTCAAGTGTTGATGGCCTCCAGCTCTGGTTGGAGTCAGACAAAACATCTAGAGTTCTCTATGCTGTTGGAAAGTCTCCTGAAAATGAAAGCTCTGAACTAAACATTAAAATACAAATTTAAGACCCTATTTTTAAACATCTTTATTAATAGCTTGTCCTTAGAGTTTTACACTGTCGCCCTGCTATCCAAATGCTTTAGTAGCAATATACTCTTATACGCTAAAAGAAAAACTAAAGAGTCAAGCCTATGAATCACCCCTATGGCAGTTCTCTAGGCACCTGCCTGTGTGAGACACCACCACCACACTCAGTGACTCCAAGTAGGTGGTTGTAAACAGAGGTCTGTCCCACCTGCCTTTTCCATGTCCTACTGTGCATTAAGCAGCAATACAACATTCACGATGATTTTCCTTTCTTTCCTCCTCTAAAGTAATCTGTCACTTAAGAATAAAATAAATACACATACACCTTAGTTTTCCTGCCAACTACCTCCATACAGGAGGATGCATGCATGATCAGGACTTGTGAAGAGCTGCACACGGAGATGTTTCTTGCTTAGCTGGGCACCAACAGGAGAGGTCTCTCACGTTCCCTTAACCACTGAAGCAAGCAGGACATACAAGAGGAACGTGTGGCTTGGGCCTTTGTCCCAGCATAGGATGCACGTGAATCCATGCTGTTGTGACTGTTCTAAAACACCACCAAGTGTTACTCCCCAGGGCTTTGTTCTCTCTTTAATGGAGATATGCAGGATAGCTGTCAGGAGAATATCTCTGAACAAGCAAAGAAGTCTGCTAATCAATCTAGACCTTTAATGAAGTCCACAGGGACATTCAACACTTGCTGTATGTTACTGTAGCAGCTGGGAACGTACAAAAGGCCTAGGCAGACATTAATTCCTTTTTCTTGTTGGGTAGAGCAACATTTTTGTTCACAAATAGGGAAGAAAGGCTTACAGAGCAGATACCTTCTAAGTGCTACTGTGGACCCAGACTTGACACGTGATAAAAATCAACAGAGCCAAGTACCTAAAGATACTTTTGGACAAACCCCGAGACCCAGGCAGATCGAAGGGCTAAAGTCAGTCTTGCAAGTCCTCTGCCAATACCAAAACTACAATACCACCCTTCGCCTCTGTTTTTCTTCACCCCTCCCCCCTTTTTTTGTTAAAATAATCAGTCCCCACTTTTACTGAATCACTAAAAGGTGGGCTGAGTGTCAAGTGAAGACACTTTCCGCACCTCATCCCAGCCCCTATTAACACACACAAAGAGGCTAACAGGGGCTGTTCCTCTAATACCAGCGGGAAACCATCCACACCATCTGTGACAGGACATCACTGTAGTATTACAAGGTGCACTAGAGAGCATAACTCTGTTTCCTCCTTGATCCCCACAAGAAAAAGTCTGGAAGAAGTAGTCATGGTGCAATTCAAACACATGCCAGCTTGACAAGAAAGCATCCCAGTCAATGAGATCTGACGAGATTAAATGCACAAATATGTCCAAACAAAGTCACCCTGACTCATTGCTTCCATGGTGAAAAAGCAAGCTGTGTAGTGCTGTGTACGAGGAATAAACTATGCTGCCATGCTAGATGACTTCCAGTACAGCCCAGGCAGGACTGAGCATTAGGTGTGGGTGTGCATGCTGTGTTTTGCAAAGTCAGGAAGTGGGGGGGAACGCAGTCCCCATTTGCAAATTCATTGATCTGCTTGCAGAGGGACAGCTTATAGCCTGAACCCACTCCAAGTGAAGTGAGTTATTGGCATTGACTCTGTCTTGCTGCCAGTGTCTCCTGGTGCAATCTGGGAAGGAGTCAGCACGCACAGCTCTACAGCAGATACGCAGTTAGACCCACGGAGCTGAGCTCCCTACAGTGAGAACATCTCAGGTTAAAAGGCTGTTAATATCTGAAAACAAGCAGGACCAAGTTTATTTCAATTGTAAGAGGGTCTGACTTGTGATTGTTATTGAGGTCAGACAACATGGACTGGGCAAGATACACAGATATCAGTATAATATATTGAATGCTCAGCAGGCCTCTGCCAAAGGTAATACCAATTCTGAATTCTCTGAAGTTCTCAGCATCAAACATAGGTGAACAAAGAGGCAGGGCTCAGCATCGCTTGCTGCTGCTGGAGTCAGCACTGGTGTCCTGAGAGAGCAGAAAGCCACTGGTGGGACAAACATTTATCTCCTCCATCTACAATTTCTGTAGATCCCATGGAAGAAAGCAGGGCAAGCCATCCACATCCAAGCTCACTTCTTTCCCACCCCATCCTTTTCTTGTAAGGAGCAAATTGGAATTGACCACAGCAAAACACTGCCCAGTAATAATACTTTGCAGTTGTATAAAAGTTCTCAGTAGCAAACAGTTAATACCAATTTATCCAGCTGAATAGAAAGTTCACATAGGCTTTCCTCTTGACTTGAGAGCCAAGATTTCACATCAGTTTGCTTAGTCACAAGGGAGAAAAAGCCAGTGGCAAAAATCAAGATCAGAGCTCAGCAGTCCTCCCATCTGTAGTTCTGATCTGAAGACTAGGATGCACCGATTGCCCTCTAGGTTTTGGAGAGAAGGAAGAAAAAGAAAAAAAGGGAGGGAGGAGAAGTTAAAAAAAAAAAAAAATCACCAAACTAATTATCATACATTTATTCATGAAAGCCAAGACTAAAATAGCATGCTAAAGGATTTGAATGCAAATAGCATATGCTCTGTCCTGATCTCTCCTAACAGAGTGCAGCACTGGCAACACAGATAACCAAAATGTTGCACAGAATAAGAGAGCCTTAAAGAGCAGAGGGAGAGCACCAGTCTCCCAGTGACTCTTTAAAGGAGGTAAAAAACACCACAGAGCTAGAAGGGAAAGTCATTTTGATGCTGTCATTGCTGTTGTTTTAAAAGCATCTCCACACACATGATGTATCATGCCTTCTATTGCCTGGAGATGGACCCAAGTCTAACACTGTGCATCCATTGTCCTTAGTTCTGAGGCATGTGAAATTTGAACCCACTGTTTATAGCTTGAGTCTACCTCTGGTGTTCACAGCAATGCATCTTCTAAGTATCAAGTACTTAGCAAAGTAAATTATTTTGCTTTGTGCAGGTATGACAGGATAATTACTCAGGTAAAGCAGGTTATTTGCATCCCAAGTTTTGAAATGGATGGGACAAAGTTAGTCTCACACAACTAGACAAGACCTGAGAGTTACTAAGGAGTGAAGAGGTGCATTTCAAACCAGTCTGGATGCAAGTACTGCAATTATCCAGCTTTCTACAGCCTTTGTAGGCTATGCTGGTGGCCAGTATTTCAGAAGCTAGACCTCTCTTGTTGCCACATGCAGGACTTCTGCACTAGCTGTTTGAATATAGCAGTTTCCCCATGATGACGCATTTGAATGAAGCATCTGTAGCACAAGTTCAGGACTTCTGTAGGTGATCTCTTAATGTGGAGAAGATGAGAGCTATCCTTAATGGTACGCATCTTGGGTGTTTCAGTGTGAAGGACAGTGCCTCATATTCACCTTCTTTGGGACAAAGAATGATGTTTCATGTTTCCTTTATCAAACTACCTGATATACTGGAGAAGCTTCCTATTTGCAAGCGTACCCTCAGCTGGCATAGTTCAGGTACAGCAAGCAGGCTTCTCTACTCCATGCATGCGCATCTCTGCTCTTCCTCCACCCCTTGCAGGTTATGACTTCGCTGCTGTACTGGAGTGGTTTGCAGAGCGAGTTGACCGCATCATTCTCCTTTTTGATGCGCATAAGCTGGACATCTCTGATGAATTCTCTGAAGTCATCAAGGCCCTGAAGAACCATGAGGACAAGATGAGAGTTGTTCTCAACAAGGCTGACCAGATAGAGACTCAACAGCTGATGCGGGTGTACGGTGCCCTCATGTGGTCCCTGGGAAAGATCGTCAACACTCCTGAGGTCATCAGGGTCTACATTGGCTCCTTCTGGTCCCATCCGCTGCTCATCCCCGACAACCGCAAGTTGTTTGAGGCAGAGGAGCAGGACCTGTTCAGGGATATCCAGAGCCTGCCCCGCAATGCAGCCCTGAGGAAGCTGAACGATCTCATCAAGCGAGCACGGCTAGCCAAGGTGGGTGTTGACATAGAAGAACCCAAGCATTCTGTTTGGATTGTCTGCAGTACGCAGGCTGTGGGGAAGTGGTTTTGGCCAGTTTGGCTTGCAAAGCTGGTGAATCGTACTCTTTTTCATTTCACTCAGGCCCAGCAGATTAGTCCTGTGTACTTCAAGGAAGAAAGCACCTCCTTTGCTTGGTGTGTCAATCATGACAGGCCAGAGTGAGGATGAAAGCCACAGATCAAAGCAGATAGCACTTGAAGGGATGTGGAAAGCAGTTGCTCTATAGTAGCGACTGGAGAATTAGGACCAGTTCAGCATGTTGGAATCATACACCAAGGGAATTGATAAGCTCTAGGTCTTTTGCCTTAAACTTTCTTAGCCAAGAGAGATCCCTGGCTAAAATGGATGCAGAGGAGGTGGAGACTCACAAGAACGGCAAATAAGCCTGCTATATCACTGAATATTGAAGCCCACCAGTATACAGGGAAGAACCCCATATCAATTGAGAAGAGATACCTAAAAAGCTTTCTGTGCAAGGGTCTTTATTTCTAAGAGAAAAAACACTTGGTCCACCATTCAAAAAAAAAAAAAAGCCAGAATGTCATGTAAAGTTAGGTACTAGTATTTGTATTAAAACATTAAACAAAGTCTGGAGAGCTCCTAATCCTGTATGTTTGGTTTGGACTGGAAAGGGACTGTTCCCTGGAAGGCCATGCCCAGTGGAAGGAGAAAGAAAAACCACACAACACACACCACACCACCAGTGCCTCCAGGAAGTGCGTATGCTGTCTTCACCTTGTCTCAGCACAGCCAGAGCATGCAGCTGAGCAGCAGTGAGCACTGGAGCGATAATCAGTAGGTACAGGCAAGCTGAGAAGCTGAGTTTGCTCTTCAGGGTGGGACAAGATGGGGTTGAGTCCTAAGCACAGATACTCTCTGCTGGGAAGAATTTTCTGATGTGTTCTTTAATACTCAACTTCTTCATTCCGTATCATTTAATGCCCTTCAGGTCCATGCCTACATCATCAGCTCCCTAAAGAAGGAAATGCCTTCAATGTTTGGGAAAGACAATAAAAAGAAAGAGCTTGTTAACAATTTGGGAGAGATTTATGCCCGGATTGAACGGGAGCACCAGATCTCACCAGGAGACTTCCCTAATCTGAGAAAGATGCAGGTAAGCAGTGGCATTTTGGGCGGAGCACCAGACATCCAAGGAAAGATCATTAGAGTAACCACAGGGAATACGACAGAAGCCATGCAGACATTGATTGTTGTTGCTTGTGGGAAAGGCCTGCTGTGATGTTGAAATGAGCCTTGAAATATGTGCAGACTATATTTGGACACGAACGCTTTTTGCACGTAGCGCTCATGCGCAGCTACAGCTGCCTTCACTTCTCAAATCTTTGCCTGAATAGCACTTTACAGCAAATTATTTCTTCTATTTTTCTTCGGTTTTCATTTGAGGTTCCATTTCCAGATTTTTCAGGCCTAAGAATACTGCTAGTGTATATTAAAAGGAAAGTTATATCCTGAAAAGCCTACCTATGCCCCTCTCCTCAAGAGCTGTATTTTTGTCTTCTACTTCACACTCTGTTTCTAGAAAGAGAGAAAGGAGGCTGTGAAAACTTAAAGCCCCTTTCCTGTTTAAGCAGAGGAGCAGGTTTTCTGTTCTGCAGAGCTGAGACCTGACCCAGCATTTATGTAAGTCAAAGACTTCAAAGGACCTTGGATCAGAGCCTTATATTGTATATTCAAACAATGCTGGACACTTCTGCGTTGCTGCGTGGCTGCAGTCCAAGCAGAAACCTGCTCCGAGTTGCTAGCTGTTGAAGTCATTAATAGCTCCCTATGGAAAACACAGCATCTGCTTTTTTTTGGGGGGGGATATATTTTCTGTAAGTTCTTGGGAATGAGATCTATGAAGTGTGTCCAATAGAAGATCCCATTCACTGCTTGTTAAAATGTGTGTTTAGGTGTTTAAAAATAACTATACCAATCCAGTAGGAGTGAGTAGTGTGGATTTAACAAGTAGAGGGTGAAGGATAAAGCTGTAGGTCATTTTGCAGTCTTTAGAAGAGAGTTATCTGCAGGCCCTGCTCAAAGCACTTTTGCTTAGCTGTGAAAATTACAGAAACTGAGCCATGCTGTAAAGACATGCTCACCTCTTTACACACATGCTACTGTTTTTATGGCATCTGAAAGATGCACTGCATAATGATGAGTAAAATAGTCTTTTGCCAGAGTGGCACCTCCTTCCCAGGGTGCAGAGGGGGAGGGAATGCAGAGCACAGGCTGCAGCAAGAGCTGCACAACCAGTTTGCCTTGAACAGTTTGGTCTTCAAGGAGATTGCTTTTATGTGGCTTGGAAAGGAAGAGTCTTATTTGCATACAGCCATCATCTGGGCCTTTGAGTAAACCATTTGCCCTCTCTGTACCATGTCAAGCCCCCCTTTGTAAGCTGAGATTTCTGTAGGGCTTAAAGAAGATTTAAGTAAGATCAAGGCCAGCCAGGGAGACCTCATCCCATGCTGAGAAGCAGGGCTATGAGAGGAGGGAACGCTGAGCTCACCACCCCTCTCCTGTAATAGCAAGTTTTTGAGTCAAATGGCAGACAGGTATCCCACTCTACACTGTTACTGCCCTGTGCACAGCCACGGCACTCACCTCTTGCTATGTTGTCCCACTTTAAGGATCAGTTGCAAGCCCAGGATTTTAGCAAGTTCCAGCCTCTGAAGAGCAAGCTGCTGGAGACCGTGGAAGACATGCTGGCCAATGACATTGCCCAGCTCATGGTGCTCGTACGCCAGGAGGAGTCACAGCGGCCAACCCAGATGGTGAAGGGAGGAGCCTTCGAGGGCACCTTGCATGGTCCATTTGGCCATGGCTATGGCGAAGGCGCTGGTGAAGGGATTGATGATGCCGAGTGGGTGGTGGCCAGGGACAAGCCCATGTATGATGAGATCTTCTACACACTCTCGCCTGTCGATGGTAAAATAACTGGTGCCAATGCGAAGAAGGAGATGGTAAGGTCTAAACTGCCCAACACTGTGCTGGGCAAGATATGGAAACTGGCTGACATCGACAAAGATGGCATGCTGGATGATGAGGAGTTTGCCTTGGCGAATCATCTCATTAAAGTCAAGTTGGAGGGTCATGAGCTGCCAAATGAGCTCCCTTCCCATCTCCTCCCTCCATCCAAAAGGAAAATAACAGAGTGAAGCAATGGTTACGGGGGAGAGTGAAAGGGAAGGGGAAAAAAGATCTAGAAAAACATGTTTACTTAAATTATACCTTTAGATGTGAGATCACCTTCAGATTTATACATATTTTGCTGTATGAAGGAAAAAACTAAAGCAGAACAAAAATGTCCAATCCTTGTTCATGATAATATGCAATTAACTCTTCCAGTGTAATGTCCCTGCTTTCTAACGTCTAGTCTGTAAATATGAAGGCAAAGAAAGGATGTTGAGACTAGGAGAATCTGATAAGCAGGAGCGGAATAAAAACTGAAATGGGCTGCATTTTTTGAGAGTGGAGTAGGCACCAGTAGAAATCTGCTAACAGCCAGTATCACTCCTGAGCTTGGGCTGCACCTTCTGCTGTTCATTGGGTCTTGCAAACTTCAGGAGACTGAGATCTTGATAGTGAAGAGGAAACCACAAGATCTCTAAGCTATTTGCCAAACTAAAGAGCACTTCCTAATTAACATAAGCCCACACTAAAATACTAGATACTCAATCCCAGAGTTAAGAATTTTAGGAACCTCAGTTCACTGTTAGATGCAAATTTTACAAGTGTTTCCCTGTCATTAAAGAAAAAATAAATAAAATCTGAAACAGTTCTGAACTGGGCAGCTGGAGTTCCTCATTGTTCGCTGTGGGACAGGCACCGAAGAGTTCCCAAACACCTCTACCTCCCATTCAGTCCCCAGGGTCGATTTGTTCTGCTGGCGTGGTTGAAGGAACCACCCCACCAAGGGAAACAGAAGGAGGGAGCACCAGAGACAGACACCAGGCGGGCTGGAAGGGAGGAGCTCCCCTCCCAGGCTCACCGAACATTTCACGACCAGTGGATAGCGTTTTCACTTTGAATGATGGTGGAGCTTCGTTCCTGTGAAGCAATAGGGTTACACTCATAGTGCACAGTGAAAGCTACCAGGTCCCATTCGTGCTGATGATGAAAACCCTGCGCTGTCAGGTAGATGGTCCATTGCAAGAGCAGAGAACACAGCGGGGCAGCGCGCAGAGCTTGCTGTGCTGCCTGTGCCCCCACAAATATAGCCAAGATGTTGACAGCCTTCACCCACCTTCCTCCCCGCCACTCAGACACACTTGATCCCCTCCAGAACCTCCACCCTGAGCCCAGAGACCTTCCCCCCTCTTTCATGCTCTACAAGATTCTTGTTTTCAAGGCCTGATTTTGGCAGAAATCCCTCTATTTCCTATTTTGTTTCCCAAACACACACACATGCACGCACGCAGGCACTCTGCTGGTTTTTGTTGTTGCTTTGGAGCAGCGTGTTGTTCCAATTCCTGTTGTCACTTTATATAAGCTGAGCTCCTACTGTGATGAAAAACCAAGACAATTATAACTTATTTTATATCTCTGTGTTCATATTATATAGAGAAATATATTCTGTGTATGTAGGATGTGCTTATTGCAGTACATTTATCACTTGTCTTAAAAATTAATGCATTAACCTTTTTTGTACCCTGGTCCTAAAACATTATTAAAAAAGAAAGGCCAGATCTGTCTATTTCTTTACATAGCAGAGTGAAGTGCAGCTGAAAAGAAAAAAAGCTTCTTTCTACATGTAACAAAGCAAGGAAATCATCCTTAGCACATTCCCAAGTGTGCTTGTACAGCTCAGCCCTGCCAGACTCGGGTGTGCACTGCTGAATGACTGGTTAACATCTGCAGCATCTGCTTTCTCTCCTGGCAGTCTGATCACAACCTCAGAACTCGCTGAAGCAAGTGGAATTGTACCGTGATTCACCTTGTTCAACATAGGGGAGAAGTTACAGCCAGATAAATACTTCATTAGGAAAAGGAATATATTGAAAAAGTTTCCTCCTGCCAGTCATGGATGAGAACGCTACAGATTTATCAAAATCTGGAAAGGACACAAAAATCCTTAGTCTTAAATCTTGCTGGCTCTCATTTACTTTAATTGTCTTCATTGCTCTTTCTTTACATGTTCATGACAGGGACTGTTATCCCCAGAGCGGGACAGCGAGAGCAGCTAGGGCAGTGCTGGAGAAGCAGTCGGAAAGAGGGTGTGGGCAGCAATGGTTGGCCGAGTTTCCATTTAGCGTTTGTACAGGATGAGAGACAGAGGGGAGAGGAAATCATAGGGTGGAGAGCGAGAAGCAATAAATGCAAATTCAGAGAGAAGTCAGCAGACTGTCACTCCAGTTCAACTACCCAGTAACCCCCAGTTTAACCATCATTACAGCATGTGCATCTGCCAGTGCTGTCCAGGTCTTTGTGGAACTTGGCGTCCACCTGACTCCAGGCTGAGACTGAACAGAGCACCCCGAATCAGCCCTGCCACCACGCAGGAGTGACTTTCCCATGACTGCTTGTACAGCATGCTGCAGTGCCAGTCGTGTCACCCTGGAGTTTAATATTTTCTTAAAGAGCAGAAGGTTGCTTTTCTCTCAAGGGGGATGGGAGAAGGTGAGGTCTGTTAGTCTTTTCCCAGTATACACCAGCATGGGGCTCAGGTAGGCCAAAAGTTCATTGTAATGGGTGTCAGACGGCCTTCAGGGCACAAAGCCTTGTGTGCTTGATCGTTCACAAGTTCACAAACCAAACCAGTGGGCAGCTGTTGGAACACGTGTGGTAGGTCAGTTTTCATCGCATTGACAGCAGTTGTGCTAAACCACCGCTCCTGCCCCGTGCCTGGTGCGGGGGTCCCGCTCTGCACATCCCCACGCCAGCCGCCCCGGGGTGCCTCGGTGGGATTCACTCCGCAGGGACAGCGAGCTCTGCCAGCACAGGTCAAGGGCACAAACTGCACCGCAGCGCTGCAGGGGGTTTCCTGCAACACTCGCTCCAAAACCGCTGGTGCTGTAAGAGTGCAACTTCCCCAGTCGCGTTGGGGGGGAAAAAACCCACAGCCACTTTGGTGACAAACACGCAGTTCATTGTGCGCTGTGGTGCAGCAACAAAGGCAGGAAACAGAGCAACCTCGTTACCGAGAGGGAGCAGGACAGCAACTTGAAAGGCTGTGTTCCCAGAGAGGCAGTTTACAAGTCATCCTCTGTGTTCAGGTAAGTTTATCCAGCACATTTTACTCTCAAGTTATTCAGGAAATTTAATAAACAAACAAAACCCCTCACACCAAGCCTCAAGCACCCTGAGGTTCTTTACACAAAAATAGAGGCAGCCCCGTCCCTCTGGTACGGCCATGTAAAGATGCACGTATTTCTCACCCCCTTCCCACAGACAGCAGCTGCACATGCACACACCTCCCCCACCCCCTTTTTTTTTTTTCTTCCCTTCAGAGTTAGGACTGTTTGGGCAATCCCAGGGCCTGTAGTGTCCCCCACATCTGTGCAAGCTTGTGATTTCCCCAGTGGCCAGGACCTCAGCCTGGGCATGCAGCCCTCCAGCCTGCACCTGTTCTTGCTGGTTCATGGAGCCAGGCTCCCACAGACCATTATCGCGCCCAGCAGGGCTTCCTTTTTCTCAGAGCAGCTCTCAGTTACCCAACAAGGTTCCCCCGGTAAGTTACGTGGGGGAGCCTATTCATGCTTCATTTGCTCATGTCTGTGGGTGGGGGGTTATATCACATGCGCATACCAGGATCCTTCATTTTTCTGATGCTCTCATGCCCCTCACTACCCATCCTCAGACAGAAAAGCTTCCACAAGGTCAGAAGAACAAAGAGGTCTTTTCTTTCTCAAAGTAGAAACTGCATTTGGTCTTCTCTGTTCCTTTCTGGGAAGGATTTCGAGAAGAAAAAAATCTGTACCTACATGCTATATGGGCTAATACATAGGCTTCTTGGCAATTAAGTTGTCTCTTCTGTGGAACACGACAGGCAGATTGGATCAACAGCGCCATGCAACCATTTATTTGAAGGGAAGGATAGTAATTACACTAGGTTCCCTGAATAAGATTTCACAGGAGGTGTGCTGTTTGGCAAAAGGCAATTAACTTCTGTGAGCTGGAATTTATCCAGCATGCCGGAGTTCAGAGGGATGTTTAATCAAACAGAAAAGCGTAGAATCAGTTTTTCCATCATCTTAAGTTCCAACATAAACTTCATACAACAATGAAACTCAGATTTAGGTCTGGAAACAGTTCTTTTAACTTGCTCTCCTTATTATGCCTTAATGCTTTGTCCGTGTGACGGCACCCTTTGGTTGGGGAACACAGAGTTACAGGCGATCTGACCTTAGAGAGTGACAGTGTTCCTCCGAGGCCAGCAGGAACCACGGACAAGCTTCTCCAGAATTCACCTGGGAACCTGCTACACCTCTTGCATCACTGATAGCTTCCTCCTCTGCTATTGTTTACCTCAGTGTTTCCTTTATTATAGGGACAAGCTGTGGGAAGATGGATTAGGGGACTCCACATTTAGGCTTTGGCAAATCCAAGGACATGATAGACTATTTAACTCCTTCCTAGGCTCAGAAGTCCTCAAGTGCTTCAAAGTTTGACAGATGGGTGTTTGGAAACACTCATGGAGAGTAGTATGGAGATATTCCAGAGGAGCATCTTGACATACCATCCTTGTGGAGCTTTCACAATACAGCATCCATTATTTTCTGGTCATTCCCTTTCCTTCCTTGTGCTCATGAGCCTCTCCCTCCTCTTCTCAGTCTGTGCAAGGGCAGGGGAAAGCAAGGCTTAGCTTGGAAACTCGACATGCAACGTTCAAGGCTAGTGCAGGCAAGTCAATCACTGTGTAGCTTTCCAACTCCTTCAGGCAGCGTGGAAAGAGCAACAAAGCCAGTATCTGAAGTGGGATGACTGCATTTTGAAACAATTCCTGTCTGCCTGAAGGGAGAGAAATCCCTGGTGAGTATGGCACACATTCTCCACAGCATGCCTGTCCCACCGATCCCTTCACTGGCCAGTAGCACATCAAACACTGTATGAGTTGCTAGGGTTTAAAATGGGCTCTTCTCCAGCTAGTTACGCATCATGTAAACAGTCAGCGAGGGCTCCATTAACATCTGAAGACGTGAACATGGGAGATATTTATGGGCCTTGGATTATATTGTCCTCCTCGCCCATGCCGTTGCACGGACAAATGAAGGTTGTACGTGTTGAATTCCTCTCTTTACACCTCCCGAGATCACTGCAAGCAAATGCCAACTAGAAACTCTCCATAGCTTTTACCCATCGCTCAGTCCACCACCCTACACATCTGTCAGCAGGATGAGAATCACACAAGGTCCTTATAAGGCAATGGCAGCACAGGGGCCAGAAGGAAGCACAGCTCCCAGGAGAAGCTCTCTGGCCGCTTCTCTTATCTCCTTCAATGGGTAGCTTTCAAGGCAGGTTTTCAGCAACATTTTTTTTTAAAGACAGCGGAAAAGAATCAAAATAAGAGCTCACCACCTGTCTGCCTACCATGTTTAAGCCATTCACAAAAAGGACAAGGGAGAATTATCTGCATCCAACCATCTTTAAAGTCTGCATGTCACAGCACAGGTGTCTCCAGTTTGTACCAAAACCACATAACTGGGGTCCCAGCTGGCAGCTAGCAGGTATGTTAAATTCTCAAAAGCAGAGGTGCTC